CAGGTTCTCTCGGCCGGAGCGAGGAGGGGGATTGGGTGACAGCGAGAGGCTGTATCGGTAACGCGGCCTGGGCCGGCAGTGTGCACGCCGCCGGATACAAGTCGCTCCCTAATGTTCCAGCCAAGGAATACATGATCCCTGGCAGGATCCCACCGAGCTCCTGTTTGGGGAGGAGAGGAGAGGGGGGTCTGGCAGCGATCCTCGCCACCCTCCCCCAACCCCGGGCACCGCTTGGCCCTCCCTTCCCAACTGGGACGCCAGCCTCATGAGTAACTCTAGCAAAGCAGGAGCAAGGGAACCGTCGTTGGATTTCTGGAGCTGGGGAGCCCCCTGCCGTAGGCCCCGAGAGGTGGATTGAAAACACAACCAGCTCTCCCGGATTTATAGGCTCCCACCCTCTCCCTCTGGCAGGCAAGGACTCCGCTAAAGTGAGACCTGGTGTCTTTTGTAAAAGCTTCGTCAGCTGGGCTGTGGTTTTGCACAAACTAAACCATGTCCGGGGGGCGATAGGAAGGCGAGGTTAACCGAGGAGTAGGCTTATCATCACAGTGACCGTTTGAGACCCAGCTTCGGGTGCAGTGGAGATCAGAGGACGCCAGGGTGTTGATCGGAGCAAGATAATGCCCTGGCGAATACGGAAAAACAACTCTAGGGGTAGCGGGAGCTAGACAGGTGTAAATCAGTTTGGGATATACCAGCCCCCCAGCCACGCACCCCTCAAATCCATTCCCTTTACAGGGTGTCTGCTCACACATCTTCCATCTCCCTCCTACCTCCCAAAAGGGATCAGAACTGGGCCGTCCACTCACTATTCATGATTCTGGCTTGCAGATAAATTCCAGGTTTGCAAAATTACGGCAGGCAGAAACAAAGTGCTCTGTTGGTGTCCTTATTATATGGCTTCTCTCTGGTCATACCTGTGCCACTGGCAGCCCCTTCAGAAAAGAGAGGAATGCTGCATTCAAGCTGGACCAGGTCATTTTCTTGAGTGGCCACCAGATCCCGCCAAAACCAAAATCCACATGGCAGAGTTTGGGAAGATCCAGGACCCAGGCTTCCAGTTCATGATTATCTCTGTAGCCGACACTGTACAGACAGTAGGGGAGGCTGACCTGAGTGCTGGGCTTCACATCCTGGTTTGTTATTGTAGGGTTGCACAGAATGCCGGGCTGCATACCCTTGTT